ACCCGCTCTCTGCGCTGCTCGCCGCCGCATTCCTGCTCGTGCGCAAGGTCCCGCCGCTCTGCCGTGGGCTGCCCTCGCAGCGGGAGGATGGCAACCCTTGTGACTTTGACTGGGTGAGGCGGCGCGGCCTGTTCCCGCACCCCCGGCCTGTCCCCGGGCCTGTTCCCGCATCCCCGGCCTGTTCCCGGGCCTGTTTCCGCATCCCCGGCCTGTTCCCGGGCCTGTGCCCTCACCCCCGGCCCTGGCCTGGTTCCCTCCTGCTCACACAGCACCCCGGCCCGGCTGAGGGAGGAGATGCCCTGGCGTTGCTCTGCGATGTCCCCCTACAGCCGAGAGATTCCCCCTAGGCAGTGGTCGAGCCCATCGCCGTGGGACGGCTCGCTGTTCTCCCTCGGGAGGGATGGGGTTTCTGGGCTCTGGCAGGGCCTTGGGGCCAGTAGGGCTTGGCATGGCCACAGGTCCCTGTGCAAGGCCAGGCCAGGCGTGGCTCCAAGGTGTCCTGAGCACTTGCAGCTCATGGTGTCACTTCTCTGTGCCAGAGGGAGGTGGAGATCCTCATGTTCCTCAGTGCCATTGTTATGATGAAGAACCGGCGCTCCAGTGAGTCAGGGGGATATGGGAGGCTGGGGCTGCTTATGGGGCCTCCTCCAATAAGAGTGGGGGTGGCATCTGGAGGACCAGATCCAGCCCTCCCTGAAGTTACCCCCAACCTTCTGGGGGAATCTGGTCCTATCCCTTATTGCTGTCTCTGCATTGCAGTCACCGTGGAGCAGCACATCGGCAATATCTTCATGTTCAGCAAAGTGGCCAATGCCATCCTGTTCTTCCGCCTCGACATCCGCATGGGGCTGCTCTACCTCACGCTCTGCATAGGTGAGCCTGGATGTCTTCCTGCCCTAGATTCACCTTGCCCTGGCTCCCCCTCCCTGCTCTGGGGTGGAGGAGTTCTGTCTGTCCAGGCCCAGCCTGGCCCTCCTGGCACTGGGAGGCTCAGGGTGCTGTCGTTGCAGTGTTCCTGATGACCTGCAAGCCACCCCTTTACATGGGCCCTGAATACATCAAGTACTTCAGTGACAAGACCATCGATGTGAGTATCTCCCAAGCCCTGGGGGTTTTGGGGGGGCTCTGCCCACCCCCCCTAAGCCCATGCCCCTGTGGCAGGAGGAGCTGGAGAGGGACAAGCGGGTGACATGGATTGTTGAGTTCTTTGCCAACTGGTCCAGTGAGTGCCAGTCCTTTGCACCCATCTTCGCCGACCTCTCTCTCAAGTGAGTGGCACCCACTGGGATCTTGGTGGGTGACGGGGCCCGTGGTCCTCTGTATCCCTCACAGCCATGTGTCCCCATCCTGCCCAGGTACAACTGCTCAGGACTCCAGTTTGGGAAGGTGGATGTTGGCCGGTACACGGACGTCAGTACCAGGTGTGGGGAACACAGCCTGGGCAAATAGGGCCCACTCTGGGGCAGTCCCTGTGACCTTCTAGCCCGCTCAGGCTGCCTGAAGGTCACTGTTGGCTTGTCGTGACACAGGTACAAGGTCAGCACCTCACCTCTCACCAAGCAGCTGCCCACCCTCATCCTCTTCCAGGGTGGGACAGAGATCATGCGGCGACCGCAGATCGACAAGAAGGGCCGGGCTGTGTCCTGGACCTTCTCTGAGGTGGGTGGGACCCTCCAGCTTTCTGTTCCCCTGCCCGGCCCGTGCCTGGGAAGAAGGGGGGAGCACGAGGTCCCGTTGATGCTATGTCTTGGCCACAGGAGAATGTGATCCGGGAGTTCAACCTTAACGAGCTCTACCAGAAGGCCAAGAAGCAGTCGAAGCCGCGAGAGGAGGGGCCTGAGGAGCCCCTAGCCGTGCCAGCGGCTGCACCTCAGGAGGAGACCAAGAAGGACAAGTAGAAGCTGCCCTGTACTGTCGCCCATCACTATGTCACCATCACCCTGGTGGCACCGGCCCCGCGAGCCCGCCCGGCCCTGCCCGGAGCCGCTCTCTGTGGGGACTTGTCCCGGCTGAGCCCCGGGAAAGCAGCGGTGCCCCCGGCCGCGTG